AGGTAGGGGGGGGGGGGTTCAGTGACATAAAAACTCAGTAGTGCAGAAGCAGCAAAACTAAGCGCGTGAGAGAGGAGAAGGCCACTCCTCCAACAAGTGTCCCGGTGTGCTCAGTTCACAAAGAGAGCACAAAAGAAAAACACAATTATGTGCAACATGCTGACAAAATGAGTAACTTCTCAGATTCAAGCATTAACTTAAGGAAATAAGACACATCAGGCTTCTAGGTGAAGTTTGAAGTTTTTACAATTTATTTAGTTTAGTTTTTTAGTTTTAGTAAGTGTTTTACGGCACTTGCAACACAATCAGGTCATATAAGTGCCAAAGATTAGAGGTGTCACAAGAGAGTAACAAACATAAAAAGAAAAAGGGGAGATAAGGACGATAGATGTTTGATAGGAAAGGAGAAGCAAACCACACCAGAGCACCCGCCAACCACCCACTTTACAATTTATAATGTATGAAATAATGAAAGGCGTGTTATAGACTTAAAGAATATGGCATCAAAAGAAAACGTACAAATTTGACCCTAGCGTCGATTCTTGGCCAATATCTCCATTTGTGGACCGCGACAAGTAACTCATTTTGTCAGCACACCTCACATATTACGTGTCACGACGCGGTGGAATCAGGCGCTCGTCAATTTTTGGGGCGCGAAACAATTATTGGAATCATCTGAAAGTGTACGTATTTGCACGGCTTTCATATATTTGTCAAAACGAGTTGGGGTTGACAGGTTAGAGGGGTAAAATTAGAAAGAAAATGGCCGCCAAAGTTTGGTTACTTCAATAGTTTGAGAGTCCCTGAAAACTGAAAAATTAGGCGACATATTTTGTGCTTTTAATCAACGCTTTTCAGTAAAATTCACATCGAAATGTTTTAAAAGGACAAAAAAGGTGTTGAGCCAAAAAACGAAACTTGATTTTTTTTAAAAGTACAACTGGAGTAAAAATGCCTGTTTCTTTGATTTTTGTTATTTGACGAGCGCCTGATTTCCCCAAGACGCTTCACATATTATAGCAGACAAATAAGAATTAAAAAAAAAAAAAATAGCTGTAACACAGACAACACCAAATACAGTCGAAACTGCTCTAACGGCCACCTGTATAAGACAGTCCCCTGCTCTAACAGCCATCTGTATAAGACAGTCCCCTGCTCTAACGGCCACCTGTATAAGACAGTCCCCTGCTCTAACGGCCACCTGTATAAGACAGTCCCCTGCTCTAACGGCCACCTGTATGAGACAGTCCCCTGCTCTAACGGCCACCTGTATGAGACAGTCCCCTGCTGTAACGGCCACCTGTATGAGACAGTCCCCTGCTCTAACGGCCACCTGTATAAGACTTCTCCTCGACAAAGGGTGGCCGTCTTTGACAGTTTCGACTGTATGTATAGATAGATAGATAGATAGATAGATAGATAGATAGATAGATAGATAGATAGATAGATAGATAGATATATAGATATATATATATATATATGAATATATATTTCTATATATACCAATATATAAATCAATCTATCTATCTATCTATCTATCTATCTATCTATCTATCTATATATATATATATATAAATAAATACATAGTCTAAAATTTACACTACGTATGATTAGTGAGAACAAAATGAGAGTGAAAGATTATGTAGTCTGAATTTGACACTGTCAAACGAGAATGGCGAATTGACTATAAAGCAACAATGATCCGAATTTGACACTGCCCGTGGTCTGAGAAACATGATGAATATTATAAAGTACACATTATTTTTTTTAATTAAGAAATTTTTCTATTTATATAGGTTTTGACTTCGACATAATTTTTCTGTTTTCTTTATGACAGTGTAAAAGCTCTGCCGCGAGTCTCAAAATATGCCACTCAGAGAATTAAAGATGTCAGATATATTAGGTAAAAAAAAAAAGTCTCCACTGAAGCATGGAAAATGCACAAATTAAAGACAAACACAGCCCCAAAAAAAAAAAGAAGAAAAAAAAAGTTCCAAACTGTAAGCAAGTTACTAGATCTAGACGCATTATGTGAAAAATATGCTGAAAAAAATTGAAAAAGGAACAAAAAAAGATTTTAAAAAGACAAATTTCGAAACAGTTGCTACCCGCTACGAGAGAATATTAAGAAAAAAAAAAAAAGATATTAAAGAAAAAAAAAAATCTTTTTTATAGAAGGGATAAAACCTGGAACATTGAGAAGCAAGCACACGCGATATATCATACATCAAAAATGGCGACAACAAATAGACAGGCTGACAAAGCATGCTGATTGGTCGGTTTCTCAACCGACGTGTGACCTACTTTCCCTGGCTGTTTGACCTCCTTCGACTTTTCCGGTTTCTTTTTGTCGCTGGTCGATTCCTTTTTGGGTTGGCGTAGGCAGAAATAAAAGGAACGGCATTGTGAACAAAGATGAACGGCTATACTTATGAGCGTCGTCGCTGGCATGACAAAATGGACAGAATCTTTCACCAGGATGTTTAAAAAATGACAGTCGTTACAAAAACAAAAAAATTAAATTAAAATAAAATAAGGCGAAAAAATAAAATCGATTTAGAATCATTCACACTCGACTCAGGCTAAGACCAAAAGAGAAGTGAAATCTGGGAGTCTCTTTTTTTGTCGTTCAGTCCATTTGACGCGTTCAGCCTGTCTGAAGGTAAATAACGCTTCAAACAGACGTACATATTCAATTGTGATATACTTTTTTTGCCAAAAAGATCAAACAAAAACAAAAACAAAAACAACACAACTCTAATTTGTGTATCTACTCATCTATTTAAAAAAGCGCAAGCCCATAAAAATAAGGGAAAAAAAATACAATTAAAAAAAAAAGAAGCCATTCCTGCTGGTAACAGTCCGATGATGGATGCAGTGGTCAAATGAGACCCCGCCGACCTGACAGACTCTAAAAGTAATACACACAATCTGGACCGGCAAAGCCAAACAGAGAATTAAAAAAAATTAGTCATAATAATCAGGGTTCCCTGAAATATGTCACAGAGATTAAAACAATCACAACCATAGACTACGAAACAACGACTATATATATACATTAATATATATATATATATATTTTTTTTTTAAGCAAGCAAGACAGACAAAAGGGAAAGGCAAGATGTTAAGGTTTCATTCGAGTTTTACGGCACTTGCAGCACAAAAAGGTCATATAAGTGCCGAAGAATAAAGATATGTTACAAGACAGTAACATACACCAAAAAAAAAAAAGAAAGAAAGAGGAGAGATAAGGACGATAGATGTTTGATGGGGAAGAAGGAGCAATCCACACCAGAGCACCCCCGCCAACCACCCACGAGTGACAAGAAGAAGAAGGACCCAGTTTGAGTTCGTTGAGTAAAGACTAGCACATCGACAAAATAACGGCCATAATAGTTAAAAAGGAAAACAACAACTAACAGGCGAGGAACAAGAAACCGAAAGACAAGAAGAAGGGACTAAGTTTTTCGTCAAGAGAAGGGCAATAATCTACTGTTTGTTTTAGTCTTAGTTTTAGTAAGAGTTTTACGGCGCTCGCAACTGCATAAGGTCAAATGGGCGCCAGAGGATTAGAGGTGTCACAAGAGAGTAACAAACATAAAAAAAGAAGAAGGGGAGATAAGGACGGTAGATGCTCGAAAGGAAAGAACTGTTTAAGCAAGCGTTTTATGTCACTTGTGTGGCACATCTACGACATAATATTAACAATAACGGCCGCTGTATAGTTCAAAGGAAAAAAAACAACAACCAAACAAACTAGCAAAACAGACAGACAGACAGACAGACAGACAGGAAAAAACAAAAGAAGAAAGATAAGAAGAAGTAGAACCGAGCACCCGCAGATCGAGAGGTCGACAGAAGGCGAAGGAAAATAAAATACAGAGAAGTAAACGCCACAACATCCGCTCTGCCACAAAGAATTGTGCGGTTTCTTCACACACACACACATACACACACACACACACACACACACACAAAGTGGCACCTTCCCTAGTGTTGACGTGTGTGCATGCCTTGTTTGGGTGAACGGATGACACTTTAAATCCTCCTACCCAACTGATCTTGTTTTTAGTTTTTAGTTTTTATTTATTTATTTATTTATTTATTTTTTATTTATTCATATAAATTTTTTTGGGGGGGGGGGGGGGGGGGGGGGGGGGGTTAAACCTTAAAAAAAAAAAAAGTATTAGTTAAGTCTAGTTTTAGTAAGAGTCTTACAGCACTTGCAACACAAATAGGTCATATAAGTGCCGAAGAGTAGAGGTATTTTTCAGGCGAATTCGTTCATTTGTAATATAATCATCCAAAGAGAAAAAAAATAACCAGACATCTATATGGCCGTAGTATAGATCAAAATGAAAACTATTACCGTTCATCTTTTCGTAACATCCTTTGTACAAACAGGTCGTTTAAGAAACAAAACTGGGTGGAATTTCTAGGTATTTTTGGCCATTAAAGGCGCTGCATTTGATTAGACAGTGAAGCGTCAAAATGTTAGGAAACCTAAACATAATATCAGACTAAGAATAGCTCAATTCAGGAATTCAGGCTATTTTTTTGCTATTCACTTCTCTTTAAAAATAAGGGGTGGGGGGAAGCAAAGCCAAGACCTCTTACTTACATCGTCAAAAAAATGTGCTTTAAGCGTAGACAATATTTCATTAAGTATTTTACGAGCAAAATACGACAATAATATCTATTTTAACCCCCCCACCCAAAAAAATAAAAATAAATAAAAAATAAAAATAAATAAATAATAACAATAAAAAATGAATCTACTCGGGTTTACATTATCATTTTTTCCAAAGCAACACAAAAAACAACAAGCAAACCAACCGCAGAAATTAAAAAAAATTTAACAAACAAAACTAACAGCTGGAAAATCAACACGACAAAATATTCTTTTTAAAAACCACACGCCTTACGCTTATTAAGCTCAGTATCTGCCCAGGTCAGCGCTACGCAATATGCCGTCATATTTTGTTAGTTTGTTGTCTTTAGTTTACGTGTTCTTTACACCCCCATCAACACAATTTAGAGCATTGAGGAGGCCAGCTTCCAACTCTGCCTGCCAGGCCCGACCCGGGCTGAGAGGGAATACGGTGCCACCGCGTGGTGGAATCAGGCGCTCGTCAATTTTTGGGGCATGTGAAGCTATTGGCGTCATCTTAAAGCTTGTTCACTTGCTTTGCTTTCGATGAAAAAAATATCCATTTATCTTGGATCTGACCTGACCCATCAATGATTTATTTATAGAGGCACCAGCCATCCATGTCCAGGAGCTGTTTTAGCCTTGTTATCTTGGATACAAGTCGAGGTACTGGCAATTGAAGGGGGTGGGGGTGGGGGGTAGGGGTCACCTGGTTTCAGAGGTCAATTGAACGAGAAAGTGGCCGCCAAAGTCTGGTGATTTCCAAAGCTTGAGACTCCTTGGAAACTTAAAATTTACATTTTTTTGGGCTTGAAATTAACGTTTTTCTGTAAAATCCACTCAGAAATGTGTTTTTGAAATGTTTTAAAAGATATTGAGCAAAAAATAAAAAATTTGATAAAAATTGCCAGAGTGACGGAAAAATGCCAGTTTCTTTCTTTTCATTACTTTGACGAGCGACTGAATTCATCATCACTCCTCACATATAATATATACAACATCCCAGTGGGAAGACAGACATTCGATAAAAATTATCCTCCCCGTTACCGAAGGCTCCTCGTTGACTACCACCAGCATCAGTCTGTGAGTCATCAAAGCCAGAAAATTGTACGGCAGAGATCAGGTCAGGGCCAATGGTCGTTTGCAGATTGTGAAATGGTCGTTGTTAAGCATGAGGGGGCTGTTTTGTGAAAATCGAAGGTAAAGTTTTTGGGCCCTTGTTCAGTTTCTTTAAAAGACAAGGAGAGTTTTCTCTATGTATAACCAAACAAAAATACACACCAATGAAACTAAACTTCTCCTATAGGTAGGGCAGTGCCCACATTTGGTGCAGGTCGAGATTTCTGGAAACCTTCAAAATCTGGGTTAGCCTGCTTGTCCGTAGAAGCGACCAATTATAGATTGTGAAAATGACGGCGACAAAATTTACGCCAGTCTCCCAAAAAGGTCCAAGTGGAGAGTGGAGAGGCTTGATATATTACAGGTATCATGTTCAAAAATGCCTCGCTCAAGAATCGAACCACGGCCAGCCACATCACAGTGCAGCGCAAAATGATAATATCAAACGGACTATAAATAGCAAACCCCTCACACGATACCCTTCGTCAACGGACCATATCACGTAATGCTATAGACAGACATCTGATATGATATGATATGAATCAATTTTTATGAACATAGTATGGCAGAACGGAAAGGATATATATATATATATAGTTGTTTTTTTATGTATTCACACGAGCCGAAAAGTGGGGGAGTGATGACCAAAATGTGCTGGATATGCATATTTATCTATCAGGCCAACAAGAGGGCATCAAGTCAACAGATTTATATATACGAGTCACTTTTCCAGAGAGG